ATACCATACTTTTGTATTTTGCCAGAGGTTTGAGATACATGGCCTTGAAAATTGCCCAAATTAACAAAAATGTTTAATCAGCAAAAATGCAAAACATGCATATCTTCCATTGCCCGTAAAACTATTTTAAAATAAAAATTCTATGTAATACATGCTTTTATCTCTTGAAATATTTATCTTTATGATAACATTTTTTAAGAAGCCCTCTGGTTATATTCACATTCAATTTCAAGCCTCTAAATTCAGTGATATATTTGTCCATCCAGATGGACAATTGACTGGTTGCTATGAGAAATTTCTTTGGCCATGTTTCTGTAGTAACCAGGACCAAAAATAGTTTTCCTTTTAAATACGTGGTAATTAGTGCAAGAGAAACCTATGTTTGAAAAAACATCGAATTCTGAGACGAAGACCTGTACTTAAATGTTATGATCTCTGTAACATGATATTTCTCCTGATCTACTTGGAACTCTCTGATGCGCTCTATTGACTTCGGTTCCAAGATTAATTTCTTTTGTTTGATAACTTTATATGATACTGACTCTAGTATACAGTATTCATAATACCAGTTTAAATACGATCTGTTAATTCTTTTTGCCATGTTATTCACTGGCAATCCTATAAGTAACTGTGAGATTTCTTAAAAGCCCCTAAGAATGTATAATTATATATTAATATTATATATAAACTATTTTAAGATACAATTGCAACATATTAAAAAAAACAACCAAATCTATTTGGATAAGCTAATTTTTCATTTACAATTATTAGCAAGTAGAAGTTGTGAAATTACAAAACAATATAAAAGTCCACCAATCTTTAGCATGAAATGAATTATTTATAAAGAACTTACTTATAAAAACAGACGTTTTGTTGGGTGAATCATTAGTCTTTGCAAAGTAGACCCCACTGTCTAGTTCACTTGCATTCCAGATTATGAGCCTCTTGTATCCATCTTTGATATACGAAGTGCTTTGTTGGCTGTCAGGTTTTTTCCAAAGAAATGTATTTATTGATCTGCTGAAAATTGCAATATCTCTCTCCGTCTGACAAACTTTTATATCCATAGTCTCTGTTTTGAAAAACAAGGCCTAATATGATAACTTGTTTTGTTCAATCGACAAATTAAAAGAAAAGAAGAATTTCGTCTAATTAGTTTTTACAAGGAAAGTAAATCTATGTCTCGTCTATAATTGGAAAGTCATTGTACAAATATTGTGAAAGTTAACGCATTGATCAAACCATCAAAAGTAGTATTAATATTGCGTGTTTTCCGTTTTCCTTTAAATTACCTTTTCCAGAATTAAAGGGAGGCCCAGAGCAGTGTTCGGGAGCTGTAAAAATAAAATCATTATGTTGGTTAGTATGTATCCTTTTTTCAGTCATTAAATAAACAATCATTATGTACTGCAATCAGGCTAATTATTTTAAAATTACGGTCTTTAGAAAACTTTCACTATGAATTTTATTTTTGTAACCATTGCAAGACTGTCAATCTGATTCAAAACGGATAATAAAACATAATCGGACTCCAGTGTTATGTAATTTATGCTTAATGTACATTTATTAAATTGAAATAAAAACAAAACACCCAAAGGACTAAAATCGCTCAGCTGTTCAATGTTGCAGCGTAATTTGTCTATTAAAACTATCTCTGGGACTTGGAGACAAATCTTTCGGATGATACCGTATAAACCGAGGTCACGTGTCGCAATGGGTGCTGACATGAAAAAGATCATTCCCTGCTCAATGGCCCTGAGTGCCGAATATGGAACAAAATTTGCAGCTCTACATCGGTAAGTAGTGGCGTCTCCATATGAGCGAAAAATTCTCGAGAGGGAAGTTAAACAGGATATAAAGAATCAATCAATCAATCAGTCTTAAGTAAAAAAAAAACGTGGCCTACGTTTTGATTAACTCAACTTGAAAACCCAAGATGCATCAACAGTTGAACTTTGATAATTTTAAGCTTCACTATATGAAATATTTTTATTTAGCCATGAAATGGCGAAATATGTCCAGAAACTCTACTTTTTGGTGAACATAGTTGAATCCCTAAAATATATAAATTAGCAAAAATTGACGTTTTTGAGAACATGTAACTATATAAGTATGTGATACATCCAGATATTGTTATAATGTATGAACTAAGTAACCGTTTTTTCTACTTTTTAGATGACAATTTGAAAGGATCAAAGATGCATATATCAACTGCCTATTAGTTTCCGAAATATTAAAATAAAGTCATAAGTTTTAGAAAGCAGACCACGGTGACCCAGTTTTCGGTTGATATTCTCAACGGGCACAAAATAAATCCAATGACAACATTTTATGATTATAATATATGTTTCCCAAGTACATGTATAAGGAAAAAGCCATGTGATTCCTCAGATGTGTCACAACGAACACATTATCATGATACAAAATGCATTTGTTAACAAAATTTGATAACTTAAACCCCATGCAAATACGGTGAATTTCATTTTTACCACCTCTGACGGACTAATTCCAGTGATTTATCAAAGTTCCTACCTATAATTATTTACAAGCATATATACACATAACAGAAAGAAATACTGTAGTTGTTTAAGATGCAGAAGTGAAAATATTCCTCTTTTTCCACATATTAAATGTCAAATTTAAATAATTATTAGACTTTTTCTTTTGCATGTTGGCAACTTTATTTTGATATGTGATGTATTATGTAATACGTATTGCATTTCGAGGGTGTCCTCTTGTTATTTCCCTCATTTATAAAAGAAGTTAATTTGCATTTTTTTCTTTGAGGGAGGTGGTGTAAAAATTAGATTTTTATACGCTGACTTATATCTAGCTTCAAATCTGTGATACAGTAACAGATAAATTAATTAAAGCATAATGTTTTCAGGCCTTTTCATCCGTAAAGAAATATACTTTTACCCGCATTATATAACTGTACTATTTGTATAAAAAATCTTATTTTCCGTATTAAGGGGGCCAACTTTGGTGTCACTGTGTGAAAACTACAATACATAAACTCCTAATTTGTATACCATATTAACTTCAATGCACACACAAAGTTTTAGGAAATCTACCGTCCATGTATTTCTGGGTGACAGTCTCAAAATATATGTACTATAGGATTATTTAGGAAAATGCCAATTCAATATTCTTCTTATATTAAATTTTAAAAACCAAGCATACATTGTACATCATCTGAAATATTTTGTTTTTACCCGTAAAAAAATTACTGAGTGTGATTTGTCTATACATCGTCGATAATTAACTAAAAACAAATGAAATTACAAGGAAAACATGATTCCATCTGTAAATCTATGGTTTATCTACTACAGAAGACCAATTAATGTCCCTGACAAACGAAATAAGCTAAAATACCACACCTTTACTACAGCTATAATCAGTTGATTTCTACGTAACTCAAAACGTGTACAAACACTATTTCAACACATGCAAAACAGTTAAACTTATCAATAATCACCTAACAATCACAAGCAAAGTATGAATTAATACATATTCCTGTAATGTCAAGTACAATCTGTCAAATCCCTGGACCTTAACAATAGTAATATTATTCTTTTTTTCTCCTGTATTTTTGTCACCCGCTTGAAAAGTGGGGGATATTAATTTGGGTCTGTCCGTCTAGCTGTCCGTCCATCCATATTTCTGTCTGTAACGCTTTTGTTTCCACAAGATATCTCGAGAACCCTTTGAGTTTTTGCAATGAAATTTTGTAAAGCGACTCCCTATGAGCTAATAAAAGATCCTGTGGATTTTGAGGTCAAAAGGTCGAAGGTTAATGTCATAAATACGCAAATTTTGTCTGTTATTACACTTTCGTTTCCGCACGATATCTCAAGAACCCTTGAGCTTTTGCAATGAAATTTTGCATAATAATTCTGTGTGACCAAAAGAAGACCCCTTTGATTTAGAGGTCAAAAGGTCAAAGTTCAAAGTCGTCAATTTAAACATTCTGTCTGTATGAAACACTATCTTTTCCTGGGGATATTTCAAGAAGGTTAAGATCTTTTGCAATGCAATTTTATACCAAAACTCTCTAGGACCTCTCTCACCCCTCTCAAAGTGTCCCGCCCCGCTCGTTTCATTAGTATTAATTGAAATACATGTCGCTATTTTAGCACAGGGGCATGTGGAGAGTTATTACGCATAAAACAGGTTCTCGGTGGACGTTATATTCTTATTACATCTTATAGAACTGTTTAATAATGGTGAAATTAGAAACCATGCATTGTGTAAAATTTTGACAATATTGAACGTGAATATATACATGTATGTGACTTCATCTTTGCATATAATTTTCGCTATTTTAAAGCGGCGCCGTGGTTTAGTAACACTCGCTTCACATGTGAGTGGGCCCGGGTTCGCATGCCGGACGATCCATTTCCTTTTTTCGAAATGCTTTTTTTAAACTAAATGATAGTATTCAGCATGTGAAATGAAAAAAAAAAATATGAGGTCTGGCTTGTACAAACTTCTAAAATCATCAATACAGTGTGATAAATATTCCATGTAAAAAGAATCTTCAATACACATAATAAGTATATGTAATAAGCAATCTAACCTTTATATCCAAATTGGCATATTTTATTTGCTTCAGTATACATGTTTACATTTAATAATTCTACAAATTCAGTCAAGGGGGATCGGACCCCACCCAACCCCCCGAACTGGTTTATTTTTTCCCTAAGCAGGGGACACAAAGTCTCTGAATAAGCTTGTTTAAGAAATAGGTTTCAATAAAATCCATGGGTATTTTGTACAACTTTAAAATTAAATATCACCAATACTTTATTATAATATTGGTAGCGATAAAGATAAGATAAGATAATATATATTTAAAGTCGGGTACATAAAACACAGAACACTAGCTCTGAGGTCCTATTTTCCGACTACAAGCAAAAAGAACAAATCTCAAAATTGACATTTAAACTATGTTGGCCGATATGAGCGTGACTAGATTTCATTTGACCGACTTCACTCACCTCTTCCAAAAGTTCCAAAATCTTCTGTCACATTTTCATACTGTTTGTTAACTCCATAGTTTTCCATTGCATTATCTAAAGAAAGAAAAAGAAATTTATATGCTCCAAAACATGCAAAATGGTAAAAATTAGAAAATGTGATTTTCTGATTTTTTACCATTTTTGTTTTTATGCGCCCGGATCGATAGATCCGAGGCGTATATTGTTTTTGTCCTGCCTGTTTGTCTGTTTATCTGTTTGTCTGTCTGCTGAAAACTTTAACCTTCGCCATACTTTTTGAACCTTGAGAAATAGAGACTTCATATTTGGCATGCATACTCCACTAATAAAGTTCTTTCAAAAGACACCAAGGTCAATGACCTTGTGACCTTGACTGCGACCTACATGCTAAAAATAACTTTTTCAAACTTTTGCTATAACTTTTCAAGCATAGAAGATAGAGACTTTATATTTGGTTTGCATGCTTCATTAATAAATCTCATACAACTGACACCAAAGTCGTTGGCCTTATGACCTTGACTGTGACCGTAATGCTAAAAATAGCTATTTTCGAACTTTTGCCATAAATTTTGAACCAAACGAGATATAGACTTTATATTTGGTATGCATACTCTTCTACCGAAGTTCTTTCAAATAACATTGATATCAATGACCTTGTGACCTTGACTGTGACCTATATGCTAAAAATAGTTTTTTGTAACGTTGTTGCCGCCGGGCTCGTAGTGTTTCACAAACACATCTTGTTTTCTCATAAAGTTCAAAAGACTTGGTATTTTTATTTAGCGATACCCAAGAACATGCTCTTCGAATTAGCAATTTCTAAACCGAGGTAAATTATTGACACGCAGGTTGATGAAACAAGATTATCAGCAGTCTCCTTTAAAGTCTTCATTCCGTAAGTTATATGATCAATACAACGCAGTACAGTCAACGTGCACAATGGGAATATCGGCAATATTTTGAAATTAAAAATTGTATTCATGATCGGGATGGCGATTGTTTTAAGTATATTATTTTTATACATGGTTATGGTAATAATAATTTAATAATAATTTAAAACTACATATTAAGGACGATTAGATTTTATTTTAAGACCTCTTACTTGATAAGGCAGTTACATAATTTTAACAAATTTACTTGCAGGATTGATGTTACCTTTAAACTGCACTAGTGCAAGGTTTAAAGTAGACTGAATGACCAAATGCTGTAATTTTGCTGGTTTACAGTATGAAATATTGATAAAATCAAACTACTGTTGACTTGTCACGTAATACGACATTATGCAAGATTCCATCTGGATCGTAGCTCTTTCCAGATACATGTACCTTGATACTTTTTGAGTTGAATTGTAAAAGCTTACTATGATCCAGTTAGTGTATGCATTTGCACTGGATCGATTTGTTAAGACCCCCTCTTTGCCCTCCTATGTGCTTACATACAAATATACGCCATTGTCAATTAAATACGTAATGTACAGAAAATATACTGAAAAAATCGTGAAGTTGACATTGAATCCAAGTAAATGGCCTAAGGAATATCTTTAAATAATATTTTATTTAATTATAGAATACATTTTTCTTTGTGAAAATATTACTTGATCTGCCTGTCACTGCATAAAGTAGGTCACGTTTTATGAAATGACGTCAAATTGACAAGTGGATTGCGAACAGGGCCTTGTTTATAACTTATTTTGCGATATTAAACTAACGACAAAACAGCATGATGTAGTAAATTTTGATGTAGTTTGATGATTTCTTACAGATTAAGCAAATCACCTCATTTTGTGGCATTTTAAAGAATTGCTGTATGACGTATATATTGTATGATGTCATAGTTACGTTTCCCGTAAAAAAAAAAAATAGACTCTGTCCCCTTTTTGTTAACTTAAGTGTGCTGCAAATGACTTTATCAACAAATACAATTGATCAAATGCTGACTGACTTTTTTATACTAATTGTTAGTCCATTATTTTCACACTGAATTGACGACGGATTTGTCCGTCATTTCCCGATCATGACAAGGAGTACACGCTGGATGTGAACGGTCTGCACGGGATGTTATCTACTCCATGGCACCTGATCCAACCTCTGATGTTTTAGAGATTCGTACGTGTTTACTCTGCTCCTATTTGGTATTGTTTTATGGACTTTGATATTGAAAATGTTGTTATCTCTATAGCCTTCTTATATTAAAGACAGTTGATACAAACAATTTTTTTCTTTGAAAAAGATTTAGTATCATGTCACAAATTTAGAAATGGGGATGGTTCTTAGAATTTTTCTCCTAAAAAATGGAATTTGAAAAAGACCACGAAAATATTAGTAATATTTCAATGAAAAGAAAAGTAAAGATAAATCAAATTCAGTAAAGGTTTACAGGTGAAAACAAATTTTAGAATATGTTAACATAGTGCTAAAAGTGTAATATAAACTTAAGAAAAATATACCAAGCCAGGTGAATTTTATTAGGAAAATCTAAATGGTAAAAATCAGCCTATGTGATATTGTTAATTATTTTTTTTTTTGTCATTTTGATCTTCGTCTTATTATTAAGGCGAAAGGGGAATGCTAAATTTCACAGTTAAGACGAGATGGGAACAAACCTAACCGGTCGGTTTTCCTCATGTAAGTTTGGTGAGGGGTGGAGCTAAATCGAAGCGGCTGAGAAGCCCCGAAGGAATGACAGTGGCTTGTGTATAGCTAGCTTTATACACATGACGTTACCTGAGTATATTACCTGTATGCGTTTTCCTACGACAATGTAAAATGAAGCCGTTTTATGTGTACACTGTAGCTCATGAATCAAAATGCATGAAATATAGCATGGTTTTGTTGCAGACAAAATCCTTTTTAAATTCTTTCTTTTAAATTAATATTTTTCAATAAATCAATCATTTTAATATAATGTGTGTTTCTATATCAAATGTTATAACAAATTAAAAAATACATTTTATTTTACCACCAATATCTGTTGTTGTAATCTGGTGAAAAAAGGAAGTAAATTAAATTACAAGTCATGTATGCTTAACGAAAGAAGAATGTGGATCACAAAAAAATCTCTCAGTAATTATCAGAATATTAAACTTCGACAAAATCCATAAATGGACTATAAATTGATAAATCAGTTTCAGAAAGATCTATATGTATCTGATCATGTAAACGATTATTATGAAATTTAACAAAATCTTATCTATAAGCAATTTCATTAAATATTATATCTGATGTTTAATTTAGTTTTATTCGATAGATTTTAGAAATCAGTATACTGGTCAAAATGAGGAAAAACTATCATGCACGTGCCTAAAATTGTTATATTTTCTCCTCTCTCTCTACTAACTGGTACAGGTATAAACAGACACGTAAATGAAATAGTAACGGGTTATTATTTGATTTAATAAATCATATTTTCATAATTAACTTTATTAGCGTATATACTCGCCTTTAAGTCGGTATTTTGGAAGTTAAATTTTGGTCCCAAACTCTATGTCCGACGTATAGGTGAGTCATAAGGAGACATTTTTTTCTGGACTGTGAAATGAAGCATTTTATGTATATTTCTGACGACTATTGAAAAACAAAGTCTGGATTATATGTAAACATATAAGTATTAAAAGATGATACATAAATTACAAATATTTTCTTACTTTAATGGTTTTATTTTTGTCTCAAGCGTGCATTGCTTATTTGTTTAATGATTTAAAATTAGATATTGGCATCATATCGAGAAATATTAATTAAAACCGGGTAAAAATAAAATCACTGCATTGATTTAAAATTGTCAGTCGATTCTGGCAAAAAGTTGCACCGACTTATAAGCGGGTCAATGGCAAATCCCTTTAAAATTACCTCAAAAAATACAATCGACTTATACGCGGACCGACTTATAGGCGAGTATATACGGTAATTTGATTTAAAAGTTTTTTTTTCACTTTATACACTCAGTTTAAAAAAAGCAACAACATATTGACAACAATTTCAAGGCTATTATTGCATTTGTAAATGATATCGATGAGATAATAATAAACCATTGAAACTAATGATGTGTTGTATGACTAGACAACGATATGCACATTCAGCGAGCGTTACCCAAAGACATCTGTGAAACCCCCAGGGCTTGCCGTTTCCTGTTCTGAAACAACTACGTTATCCCTGTACACAGGAAATGATCGCAGCTAATACTAAATTCACAAAGAAACAAAATTTGTCAAATACATGTAAATATGAAGGCGGAGAAGTGATATTTTTACTTGATCTCTTGTATAAAGTTCATGTGCCCATAGTTAACTCTCGCCATCGAATGCTTTCTGGTAATTTGTCACTTAAAGAAAAATTCCTGCACATTTAAATAATACAGCGAAATAAATTAAAGAAAAGTGTTAAAATTTAACAAAACATTAACAATAAAAAATAAAGAAGAAAAAGAATTTTTATCTTGATATCTTGATAAAGAAAATTTAAGTTCACGGGCCAACTACATATGATTGAAAACTCTCGCCATCGAATGTTTTCCAGTAATTTGACACTTAAAGAAAAACGCCTGCACATCTATACAATCAAGCGAAATTAATTAAATCAAGTGTTCTAAATATAGGAAAAGAATAAAAACAACTAGAGCAAAGCTCGTTGCAACGCAACGAGTAGGTCTTCCGTCCTGTTTGACCGGAAGTAACTTTCGTTTTTCAAAAAATGAGTAATAATGCCCCAAAGTGGTTTAAGTCCTCTAAATCCATGTTAATTAGTGCTAAAATAAGTCATTTTTTGCTACTTCCGGTTTGACCGGAAGTGATGACGACGGACTGAAAATTACGTTTTATGCTCCCATTGACATTTGTTACCTAAAAACATGTCAAGAACGGCAAAAGATGCATTTTCTGACTACTTCCGGTTTGAACGGAAGTGACGCCACTGGACGTTTTTTAATGACCCCAATAAATAAAACTCAACAATTTGACCAACTTTGCTTCTTTGACGTATTACAAATTCTGAATACTTTTTGAGATATAAAGAAAAAATTTTCGGCCCCTTTAGGCCCTTAATTATAGGGGCCAGCCCTTTTTTTGAGATATCATTTGAAAG